TATATATATATATGTATATATATATATATATATATATATGACCCTATCATTATAGCAAACGTCCTTCTTAATCGCAGTACTAGCCATGCTTTTTCAAGTGATATGCAATTAGTTATTTGTTGATTTGTGTGTGTTCTTTTTAGTTTTTATGGTATTGAGTGCAACTAACTAATAATCTAAAATCTAAATACATTCTTGCATATCAGCTCTGCTTCCAAATTATTTTAATGTATTTTTATTTTATTTTGTTATATGGAAGTCTGGATGTTGCAAACCACCATCAATATGTCAAATGGAGTATGTGAACGCCACATTTTGGATAAAAGTTGACGGCGCAGTGGATGAATCACAACTGCAATATAGTGACTGTGCTACATGGCGGAATGATCCAAGCAGCCTGTGCTACAACTGTGGATCTTGTAAACGTGGTTTTGTGAGAATAATGGAAAGCAAATGGAGGAATCTCGGAGTCCTCCTCATCTTAATGGGGTTACTTCTTGTTATTGCTCACATATTATTATTCGTTATGGTTATGTGGGAGAAATAATAAAGAACGATCGATTCGTCTCCACAAATTCAAGAAAGAGAGGACCTTTTCTTATTGTGTTGCCAGATAGTTTTTACGAAAAGGGTTCCTTTTTTTTTTTTAATCTTTATGAAATAAGAATGGTTTTCTTCTTTTTCTTTGTTCTATGGTGTTGGTCACCTGTGCGCGTGTTTTCTAGATCGCTGTTATTTTGCAACTTTTGATTCTATGCTTTGAATTAGCATGTATGAGGGGAAACTTTTTTACCAATAACGAAGCACATGCCTTTTTCTCTGAGCCATTTGCTATGCGTTTAACTGGCCTCACCCACCATGGCAGATACAGATCTGACTGATCTTGATCTGTAGAAGCCAACAGCTTGCAAGTTTAGCTACCCAGTTAAGCTCCAAGGAAATGAGTCTATCTACATAACGAATCAAGCCTCTTGTGAAGGATTAGTTTCGGCATTTTAGCTTTAATTAGCTACCCGCATGAAGTCACCTCCAAATCTTAATATGTTGGCTTTTTTGTTTTCTTTTTCCCATTCTTGAGAGAACCTGTCTGAACTTGTTATACCGTTTATAACAAAGGCGGCTGGAAAATGATAGTTCTGATTGAGGGAGAAGGCAAACTCTATGGCTATCCTACTGCTGAATTGATTCAACAAGAAGACTGGTGAATGGAAATAATGAAATAAATTTAATAATAGATTACCAAGTGAACAACGGAACTTTGCATTTTACAAATGCAGAGCATTGTGCGGGTAGCAAAAGCTTGTGAAAAGCCTCTGATGAAAACTTCATCAGACTCGCATGTTCACCTTGTAGCAATTGATGGAACCTTTGAGGAGCTGCAGTAAGCCCAGAATGCCAGGCAAGGCAGAAAAGCTTCTGGATAGCTTCTGATCAAAGCTTCATCATGTTCACCCCCGAGCAAGAGACGGATCAAAAGGCCCTACCCAGTGAACAACACCATCAGCATTGGACGTTGTTGCACCACCAAATGCAACACTGGACACTTCACCATTGCTACCGTTGTATGGAATTATCCAATCCCCAGCTGACCCAACACCCATGTGAACAAAAGTCCTCCCATATCCATCAAAATTGGCACCACCACCTTCTACTGGGGGTGGATAAGAAGCGTCAGGATTCGCATAGCCAACAAAATATTGGTTTGGAGCTAATACAACACAGATCAGCACAAGAATTAGAGAAAAATGAAAGAAAATTTTGAATGATATAACCACCACATTCAGATGCAAGAAAAAGTTGCCGCGCGCTCTGTTATCAGCATTCAAGACATCAATGTGCAACTTTTCCATTTCTCTTGCCATCCCTATGAGATTTTGTTCCATTGCTCTCATTTGCTCCACCTTCTCTATATTTAAGCCTTTTTCATATTCAAATCTAGCTCCTTTCACGAAAACAGCAGATAAAAATAGTATACATGTAAGTTAGAACTCAACAAAATGTACATTATACATCGCAGTATAAAAAATATCAACGCAAAAAGTTGAATCCTTGTGATATCAATGTT